TTGTTTTTTTTTTTTCTATTTTTCTGTTTTTTAAAATTAATAGCTGTTTTTTATATATTTTTTATTTTATTTTGGAGGTAAGTAAAAAAATCAAATTAATTGTGCAAAAACCTGAATCACAAAAGATGGTAATGAATACAAAATTCAAGCTTACCATGAGAACATAAATTTAGAAAAATGAAACATAAATGTGTGAAGGGTAAAGTAGATATTTCCTTTTTTATCATCTCATTTAGTCCATGATAGTAAACATTAGACTAAATGCTGACGTGTAAAGTGATTGTCTAATCCCATCCATTAAAGTAAATGAGACCTTAAAGAAAAGAGAAAATTACCCCTCAACTAACTAAAACGTAAAATATTGCATATATAATATTATTTGCAAATTTATAAAATTTGGCACATATTTTTTGCATAAATAAGAGATTATGCATAATTTTTGCTTATCTTTTTTGAAGATAATTATTAAAGTAGTTGTATTCAAATGTTGACTGATCGAAGTTAACTTGATTTTAAATTTTACTTTTTGTAACTTCCTAAAATCTTGAAAAATCTCCACGTCTCAGGCCTCTTCAATTTTTTTCATTCTTCTCTTTCTCTTGTTTTCCTTGATGCATTTGTCACACAATTATGCATATTTCTTTCACACTATTCCTCTTCAACGAACTCTAGCACAGGAAATGGTGAAACTCGATGCCACACCCAAACTCTAGAAGATGAAAAAATATTCAAAACTACATCTTGTCCGAACAGTCATAGGACTGCAATAATGAAATGAACCGATCCTGACAATTCTTTGTCTTTTGTACCCTTTGGCCTTCAAAATGTTGTTTTGGCCATTTTAGCTACATCACGTCGTTCGTTGTCATTCTTTTGCAGCGGCATCGTGAACCATGTTGACTGTTGATACCCACTGATGTAGGCAGAAGCCTACGATGACAAAATGAAGTAAATCATAAGAGATTTCTGATATATTCGATAAAAGCCAATCGACTGATGAGGAGATACATCCCAATAAATAGAATCCTAGTCTAACTACTTAACTTGCTAGGCAAGACATTAGTTATTCTCAGTGACGGATGGAGCATTGGCTTGGGCTGGGCTGAAGCCCAGGCCTTTCAATTTTTTTTTTAAAGTATTATCTTTGATTTTGTTTTTGAATAGTGACCTTAATACAACCCAATATATCGACCCACTTAAAATTAACTCACCTTATGTACTTAATTATAAAATACCAACCTAATAAATAAGCCCACTTAAAATTAATATACATTATATACTTATGCCCAATACACCACTCACCAAATAATATATTATATGTCATTGATCTTTAAAATACCATTTGATCTTTTTATTAACCTCTTTCCACTTACTATGTTACCCACGAGCAGAACAAGAGCATATATATGTAAACTGCGAACATTAGGATTGAAAAATTCTACCAAACAATAATTTTTTTCTTCTTTAATGGTAACTTTATATTTTTTAAATTCCTATTAGGTGTTTGTTCTATTTGTATAATTGGCATTGTCACTCTTTTTCGATTAGACTTTAGTTGATCTATTTAGGATTTTAATAGGGCTTGTTAGGATCACTTAATAAAGTGATATTAGATTGTTAAAGTTTAAGAGAATCTGATTGAGAAGAATTATTTTAGGATGTTAAAGTTTTTTACTCAACAAATGGTATTGGTGTTCCAAACATAGATGCTTTTTATAAGGTTGGTCGTTCTTGTGGACATACCACAAATCAACATTATTACCACTTTGACATCTTTACTGAAACGGTTCAGTTTATTTTGATGGAGTTACATATATGGTTTAATGATACCTCTATCGAACTCCTTTCTCCCGTTGTGGCTTTAAATCCTAATTTTTTTTTTGAATCATTTAGTAGTGATGATATTTGCAAGCTCGCAAGAAAGTTTAATTCAGAGGATTTTACAACTCAAGATATATTGTCACTTTGGAATATGATTTGATTTACTATAAGCATGATGTGGTCATGAATTTTGAAGCATCTACTCTCGTTGAATTATGCCAGAAATTGATAGAAAGTGGTAGATTGAATGTATATGTTATGCTAACTAGATTGATCCATTTAGTATGACGTACAATTTTCTACTTATGCAACCGAACTAGCTTTCTTATCCATGAAGCATGTGAAGTCAATATTTCGTAATAAGATTGGAGATGATTTTCTCAAAGATTATTTGGTTCTCTTCATCGAACGGGAATTTGCTAGTAGTATAAGTATAAATTCTATTATTGATGAATTTTACTCTGTAAAAGCTCATCGAGCACAATTTCACTGATACAAAAGTATTATATATTATTATGAAATTGAGTTATCAGATTTCTTGCCCAACCTACTCTTTTTATGGATTCGTCCCTAGTTATTCTCCTAATAAAGCAAGAAAAAGGAAATAAGATAAATAATTGATGTAGAGCGTGTATATGAACGGGAAGAACACGATAAAACACGAACAGATCTTATTCAATTCATCAATAATCTGCTCTCAACTGCGCAGAAGAGATTACATAAAGGAAAATGAGAGTCCCATGCTCATCCATTACTTAAAATAAAAGGCTACTAATTATTTTAATTCCACTACCCAAAATAAGATGCAAAATAAAAGACTACTAATAATGACCAAATAAATAAACTAGACACGCAGACGAACATATTTATTTAAGAACGCTATCGCGGTCTCGTCTCCATCATCCTCCCCGGTCGGGAAGGATTCGCCCTCGAATCCAAGCCGGTCTCGTTTCCGTATGAATTGTCACCAATCAAAGGGACTAGATGTTTGACGTTAAAAACGTCAGAAGTGCGAATGTGAGAGTGGAGGCAGAGACGATAAGCGTTGGGATTGACCTTCTCCACAACCTCAATCGGACCAATTTTTCGAGCCGAAAATTTATTATAATCATGAGCAGAAAACCGGTCTTTAGTTAAAACAACCCACACAAATCACCTACCTCGAACTCCATATGGCGACGATGAGCATCGGCCTGCCTCTTATAAGAGGCCGTGGTGGCCTCCAATCGCGCCCGAGCCGCGGCATGGGTCGTCTTCAACTCCGCTACGAGGTCCGAGGCCCGCCTATCGACGCCACCGAGTGAGGAAAGCGCGCCTAAATCACAAGGGCTCTGAGGCTGCACAGCATACACAATCTGAAAGGGAGGGAAGCCCGTAGCCCGGCTAATCGCCGAGTTATGTGCGAACTCAGCCTGACATAAATGTTGGTCCCAACTCCAGATGTTATCGCCCACCAAACAACGAAGGAGAATCCCCAACGACCGATTGACCACCTCCGTTTGGCCGTCTGTCTGAGGGTGATAGGCACTGCTGAAGTTTAGACGCGTGTCAACCATACGCCCTAAACTCCTCCAAAAGTAGCTGAGGAAGCGAGTATCGCAGTCTGACACAATAGCCGAAGGCAAACCATGCAGACGGTACACCTCCCGAAAGAATAACTGAGCCACGTGAACAGCATCAGTGGTGCGCTT